AAAAAAAAAAAAAAAAAAAAAAAAAAAAAAAAAAAAAAAAGAACCGCGATCGGCGGCGGCAGTTCAGCGGCAGGTCCTTCGCTCGTAGAGGGAATGAGGGACCTGCCGCCCCCGAATTGCCGCAGGTGCCGCCCCTCTCCCTTGGCTGCCCCAAGCACCTGCTTGTTAAGCTGGTGCCTGGAGCCGGCCCTGGGTAAGCATTTAACAGAAGTCAGATAAAAAATTATCAGCATTTTATTGTAGCTTTGCAACTGACGATTTCTAGGATAAGGATTTTCAGACAAATTCCAGCTGTGCAGGAACCTCTTCACCTCAACCTCCTCTAAGGAGATTTCTTGTGTATGGTAAGAGGGGTAATTAGCAAAATTCATATAGCCAAGTCCAGATTGGTGAGCCAACGGGTAGTCTCAGAAATGGCTTGATACAAGCTAAAATACCACTGGCAAATGACTGAAGTGGGCACTGACTTACAGACTGGTCCCACAGTTTGCAACTGGGTTACATAGACACATTGTGCATTGTTTCATCTTCCAGAGACGAGAGAGTTGACAGCGTCTACCATGTGATGTTCTCAAACAGTTCAATGTGGACCACTGTTTTTGGGGTAGATTGAAGCCTAGAAGTTCTTTTCTAGAATCTGGTGTTTGAGACATTATCCCAAATTTTTTTCCAGTGGGCCTCAGTATTGAGTGAGGACAATTTAAGAGCTTTACCCATTCCCAAAAAGAATGGAGAGATTTCAGGCATGTCTTTGGAAGGTTCCAGAGGTCCTCATGAACTAGTAAGTTCAGGTTGGACATGGTTCACTTGTACTTACAAGGTGTGTGTGTGTGTGTGTGTGTCTCGGTCTCTCTCTCTCTCTCTGGATCTTGGATGAGAGTGTATGTGCCAGAGTAGGCAACCATTGAATGGGTGTTGATTTTCATGTGTGTTATAATTCTCATTGTAGTATTAAGCTGCCTGTCCAGATCGATGTGCAATATTTAGCAATCAAGAACACATGCTAGATGCACTGTTTGAAGTGTCCACATGTAGTGGCCCCCCATGTTGTGTCTACATGGTTTTTGGACAAAGCTAGTCTTCGCTTTTTGCATATCTTCTTCAGATGAACTTTAAAAGTCAAGCTTCTGTCCAAAGTTGCACCCAGGGACTTTGGATAGGGTTCATTTTGGACCTGTTGATCGCTGAAGGTCAGACTAAGTAGTTCCTTGGCAGCTTTGTTGTTTAGGAGAAAGGCAGTTACCAAGATTTTTGGAGGAGGCATTGGGGCCGAGTTTCCAATATTGAAAGTATTCTGCCATTATCTTGAGGTTGGTGAAGAGGATGTTGCCGATGATAGTGAGGCCTTTTGCCTTGTACCACAAGAGCAATGTCATCAGCATAAATGAATTTATGTGAAATTGTGTAACATATGTCACTAATATAGATGTTGAATAGTGAAAGAGCCAGCAGGGATCCTTGAGGTTAACCATCTTTGAGGATGCATGCTTTGCTGATCTGCCCTTTCAAAAGGCATGCAATATTTACAATGGCTGAACATTGTGGTCAGGAGTTGCACAGAGCTATGGTATTTGATGACCCTTGATACCTTGAGCCATAGCCAATCTCTTCATACCATGTCATAGGCAGTGGATAAATCTATTAGTGCTGTTCTGGGTTTTAGATTCTTCTGGAAGCCAGCCTCAATGTAACTATTAATGGCGAGAACCTGGTCACAGCAACTTTGTCCCAGTCTGAAACTGGCCTGTTCCTTTGGCAGGATGACCTCAAAGATAGGGGTGAGATGGGCCAGTAGAATCCGCTCCATTAACTTATAAGTTGTGGAGAGGAGCAATATTGGGTGATAACTGGCAGCATTATTTGGAGGTTTCCCATGTTTGAGGAGGCCAATGACTATTGCCTCATTCCAGCTTTTTGGAATCTTCCCTGTTTAAATACATAGCAGTAAATAGGTCTGCCAACCATACTTGTCCCTTTGGACCCAAATTGTTAAGGAAATCAGGGTAAAGGCCATCCTTGGCAGCAGGTTTTCCACTTTTGGAGGCCACGAGGGCCTTGTTTATTTCTTCTGCAGTATAAGGAGATGATAGCAGCAAAGTGGTAGGGCTGCGTCTGACATTTGAAAAGAGCTCTTTCCTCAATCTTCTGTCTAGTGAACTTGTCGGTTTTGATCTTGGAGTTACAGAGAAGGTGTGCGGCAACAGAATTGGCTGTAATTTTCACTAAGTCAGCAGCTCCAAGATTATGGAGGAATGCCCAGGCTTTGCAACTGAAATGAGTGAAGTCAAGATCCTCCACTGTCTCATTCAGTCTCTTCAGGCGAGCAGAGTTCATCTGGATCACCACTCTTCTCATGTTCTTTGAAGAATGCTTCTGTCTCCAGCTGCCAGCAAGAAATACAGACCTTGCGATATCTGTGAGGAATGCGTTTAATAAGAAGGTGAACAAAGCGGGTCAGTTTTCTGGGATTGGTTTGATATGGTGTCTCCAGTCTTCAACTTCTGCAGTATATGCAACCCAGTTTGCTTTGCAGAAATTCTTGCATGGTGCTGATTCAATCAATGGAACTCCAAAGCAGACATGCAGAATAATGTGCCATTGTTGGCTGCAAGGAAATTTCTAAGGACTGTTCCTGAAGCTTGCAGAGGAATACCAGAATTGTCTTTAATCAGAAAGCATAGGTAGAGATTGTGTTTAGTATTCCAGCTGGCCAAGTAAAAAGTCAATAGTTTTAGTGTCGGGAAAAAAAAAATGGACATTTGCAAACAAGGCCCAACCTGTGAGTTGCTAACCAGTTGCATCATTTCTACAAGAAAATGTCGTTCTCCTTAAGAACTCTTGAAAGATAGTCACGCTTAGCATGTGACAGACCTTCTAGAATTAAGTTGGTACACACGTGGAGCTGGTCCAACGGTTCTTCAATGCTGTCCCTGACAAGGACTCAAAGATTTCACATTGCTAAAACCATACCAGGAGATCAACAAATTGATGTCTCGTAGCCTTTTGACAACATCTGTTGTGTAAACAAACAACATGTAATGGGAGCATCACATGAAGGTTTTTGTTTTGCAAGAGAGTAAATATTTCAAAGCAGTAAATTTTTGGCAAAGTTAAATATACTACTACTAACACTGCTAGTACTGGTTCCAACTCAACTCTTTACTATCCTATAATGGTTTTAGGATGCTTGTTTGAAAAGACAAATTACAGCTCATTAAATTACAGTTTCTTATTTCTTCTTTTATAGTCCTATTGTATATACATTTTCCAGTTTTCTGTTCACTTTCACAGTCTGATGGTTGTTGGATCTGGGATTTTAATTTGGCTTATTAGTGTAGGTCTACACAGTCCATGGCAGCAAGCCTCTGAGCTCAGGTCGACAGACTTGGGCCCACATGGTGTCCCTAGCCTCTGAATGGTGTCCCTAGCCTCTGTTTGCCAGAAACTGGGAATGAGCGACAGGGGATGGATCACTTGATGATTACCTGTTCTGTTCATTCTTCTGAGGCACCTGGCACTGGCCACTGTTGGAAGACAGGACACTGGGCTAGATGGACCTTTGGTCTGACCCAGTAGGGCCATTCTTATGTTATTACCACACTACAAATAGCTGTGTAGACATTGCAGCTCAGGCTCTTCAACCTAGAGAGCGGGGGTATGCCAAGCCACAACTTAAAAGCTCTGTCCTCAGAGCTATTTCTAGCATAGTAGCGTGAGCTCAAGTCTGTCGACTCGGTCAGAAGCTTGCTCCTACTGGCTGTGTAGACGTACCCATAGAGAGCATGAGATAGGGCTCTTCTTGGAGTGTGAATTTGAATTTTCATGAAGTCCCAATACGCAGGAGTGTTCTGATCCAGGATCCAGTGAGGCATTTTGGTTTGGCCCCATCTATAAATTACAAGTCACTTAAATTAAAAAAATAAAAAATCCTCCCAGGTTACAGAAAGTGTCCTCTAGTCCAGCGATACTCAGACTTCAGTAGTTCAGGAGCCAAATTAGCGATCAACATTATCCAAAACAGCCACAGTAGTGTGAATTCATTGTTTCATTTACTATAGTACTATATATTCATATTTAAATAGTATGATAGAGAAATATATAGTTTATTATATATAGTTCTCACAGCAAAATGACTGACCAAGTATTATTTTATCACCTACAATTGGTTAATAACATAGTAAAAGCATCCTGATTGGCTAATAATTAAAATCACACTGTTTTAGTATCTAGTGCTGCAAAGAGCCACTTGCGAGCCTTAGTATCACTGTTCTTGTCATTTCTAACACTCTTCAGCAACATAGCATTTAGTCACCATGTTTCTTCATACAAACATACAAATCCCTTAAGTCATTTAATGCTTCCTCTAGTATTAGTTGATTACATCCTCCCTTTTGTCTGGTAAGTGTATACACAAAGCACTTTGAAAACATATTGACCAAAATGACACTTGATACTTGTAGAGCGTTGTGTGTTATTTTGGTCTTTTGTCCCAAAATTAATGGTAACAGATTGGGTAACTATCTTAAAAAAGGAATAAAAAGGTGAAGAACATCAAATTGGCTGACATGCTCTCATTTAGTCACTTTTGGAACTCAGCAGCTAACCTTGAGTTACTAGTTCATATTCAAGGAATGTTCACCAATCATTTTTATTGAATATGTTTTCATACCTTAGAAAGATAAAAATATAAAGCTGAATTTGCTAAGTGCAGTATCTCTTCATTTAGTCTTTTTTCAAGTTTCTTCATCTCTTCAAAGCAATTATATTGAATGGATATGGAGCTAAAGTTAGACCAAATCTTCCTTCCATGGCTGGTTTTGTAGCATTATCAGGATACAAAAAGGTGAAATTTTGCATGAGATTTACAAACATCAAGAACAGCTCCATTTTTGCCAGCTGCTCTCCCATGCACACACGTTTACCTAAAGAGAGGTTAGAAAGGTAAATATTATTGATCCTTATACTGTTGACTTATTCAAATACAGCCCTACAACCTTGTTCCAAGCAGAGAAGGACTCAGATCTGAACTTTTTAAAGTTGGGATTCAGAGTCTTGGTTTGGATTTCACTTGGTTTTATTGCTTAACATTAGAAGCACATACAGTCTTAACACTTTATGGCAGTAAAACCACTTCTATAGTATCACCTGATCCATCTTGGGGACACTACTGGGAGAAGGTTGCATTTATTTAAACAGGCAGCTGAGGTTGGTAGGAACTAAATTACTGTGTTTTGCAGGACACTCCCAAGAGGTTAAAAAAAAAAAAGCTTAAGTAATCAGTGTGCACCATACATGTTCAACTTTTATTCTATTTTCAACAATGAATATTATTTTCTATGACAAAATAAGAAAATGGCAAATGCCAAAGGCTTTTTGGAAGTGTAACTCTCACCCCAAACTTTAAACAAAAAAAGCCCATTCCAGCTGTATCTAGATATTTTACCAATTCCGAAAGGAATGAACATTTCTCTTTTGATTAGCTGGCCATTTTCATCCAGAAATCTTGTTGGTTGGAAGTCATCTGGTCTCTCCCATATATTTGGATCTCTGTGCACTGACCATAAGTTGGGCACAATCACACTGCCTTTAGGAATAGTATATCCCCGTAGCACTTCAAAACAAAAACAGAGACAGGAGATTTGATAGCTGTTAGGAGCAAACATGAGAGATTTCATGCTTAACAGAAGAGGGACTATAGTTATTAAACAATAGCTCAGATCCTCAGCTATGGACAAGGAACACCCACACATCTCAGGACAGAGGGTGAAAGTCTGGGTGCAAAGGTGGTCCTTGTGCTCCCCTGATTCTGGGCAGCCAGTATACTAAATTATGCTAATTGTCAGGGATCAACAGGGTGTGGGAAAGTCTCAGCCATGTTATGTTTTCAGAAAGTCTCACTCAATATACCAGCAGCAGACAGGAAGATTGAACAGAAGATGTTGTCCCACTAGCGGAACCCCTTACATTGGGATGATCCTCCCATAACTAATGCTGATAAAACTAGAATTCACTGGTGATACACTGCAAAGCAAACACTGCATGATGTATGCCAATCCCTTTAGTTTACTCAAATCATTTACCATTATCTAGAATAGCAGAGACATTTCAGATCTACTGTTGCAACCATTAAGCTGACCCAAAAAGTTTCACAGGAACACAGACAGGACCAGGCCTAGACTGCCAGCATTTTGAACACAGGACTTTCTCAAAGTGTATTCCATTTCAACAATATTCCCCTGCCCACAAAAATCTATCCGTTCCAAAACCTTGCCCTCTCCCCCATGTCCATTAATTCCATCTTCCCTTCCCCATCCTCACACACATAATTCTTCCCAATCTCTAGTCTAGTAAGTCTTGGCCTATCAGGTTTCCCCTTTCTAGTTCCTAGTAATTCACTAAGGCTCCCCTATCTGGCAGCTGTTTATCAGAGCTGGCAGGCCATCCTACAAACTCTGATTCCCAACCAGCAATTTGTCCTGCAGTCTGTCTGCAAGCTATTTGATTGGGTGGCGACGATGTCCCCTCTGATGTCCAGCTCAGTGGTCAGTTGGATTTGTGCTGGAGATGTCAGAGCTCCAGGCCAGAGCACCAAGTGTCAGCTCCTGAGAGGAAGGAGAGGGTCTGCCTGTAACAGCTACAGGAATCCCACTCAAAGCAGTAGTGGCTTGGCACCAGCTCTCCTCCTCCACATACACTGTTGTAGAGTCTAGCAGAAGGATGTAGTTCATCTCTCCATGACCTTGAAGCTCTGCGGGGGGATGAAAGGAGGGAATTCTCCTTTAAGCAGCTAGCATCACTGTAGCAGGTGTTGAACAATTTAAAGAAGGATATGCTTTTGGGTGGCTTGCAAGATGATTTTTTGCTACCTCCGACCCAGGTTAACCAATTCTTGTCTACCACTATCACATCCCTGGCAATAAGGACTAGCAACATGACTTTGGGAGAGGGTGAGATTATTGTTTTCTGTAGAAATAAAAACTAGCAGCACATTCCTTTGCAGCTTAGCAATCGGTTTACATCACGTTAATATTTTCAAGGCTCTTTGTGCCAGGAAAAGGGCTAGAGACTTTTTTGTTTTTGTAAAATGAAAGCTGAGATTCTCTTTACTATTCCCAAATGCTGGGTCTATCAACAAAGGCTCACGCAATTCCTGTTCATCAGCAGATAGGATTCTAATTATGAAATACAGTACTCGGGCATCTTAAATTAATCACTTTGCATTATCAGATAAACATTCCTAGCCCTTGTCTAAAGAGATGGCATTTTACACACTGAAGTTACATCTATACCTGCATAACTTCAATCTTCATAAAGTTCTCACCACCTGTCCCATCAGACATTTCAGCCACAAAATGTAAAACAAAACAAACAAACCTACAAACACTTACCAGCAGTTGCTGAGGCCATTCGAGGAACAGAAAGAGGAACAACCACAGTCATCCTCTGTACCTCCATGATGGTTGCCTCTGTGAAGGGCATATGAGCCTTGTCAGTGAGAGAAGGAGCTCTGTCACGCCCGGTGACCACTTCAATTTCTGCATGAACCTTTTCTATGCAAAAGAAGGAAGGAGTAAAGAGAAAGATGAAAACTAGGAGCAAAGGCACTGACACACTTTCAGATTTACATTACACTCCATCGTAATATAGTTGAAGAAAACTACACACTCTCTTTCCTCCTTGCCTCATCTCACCCAACCTACCAAAGAATAAATGAAAGCTGACTCTCTATTCTATCCTACCCTGTCATGTATATTAGGCCCAAAGTAATGGAGGAAGGCGAAAGCTCCTTCTTTCAACCTATTTTTATCATTTCATTGAGGGCTCATCATATAGTATTAAGTTCATTACAGCAGCATTCACTAGGTGCTTTCCACCCAGCTATGAAGATGGAGACCCTGCCCCAAAGAACTCTCAATCTAAAAAGACAAGCAAAAGATGAAGGGCAGGCCAGAGGGGAAAAATATCCAAACTGGGTTGTTTGTTTTTTAAGTAATAGCTAATATTAGTTATCCACAACTTCCCTGGAAACCCTGTGCCTGTAGTGGTTGTTCTGCTTGCCAGTTCTACCTTTCAGCATTAGACCTGCCACCTCCTCAACAGCGATTTAAGGTTAATTATCTGCTCAGTCAGCATAAGAAAAAGTTCTGTGTATTACCACAAAGGCAGGGAAAGGGATTCAGCAATTGTCACTTTCTAAACAGACATGTGCTGCCATCTATGGATTTGCGAAGGAAATTTCTGCTCAAATGAGGAACACAAAGTAAACAAACTTCTTTATAGTGATGACAGTGCGTTACCCATTTGCCTTTTTAAAATACCAGAGTTGCTTTTCTGTCTACATACACTAGGTCACCAAAGTGTTGTATCCCCATGATGCAGTCTGTAGGATCCTGCAGAGATTTGTGGGACTGTAATTAAACTACCTACATGCTTTGCTGTTTGCACTGCTGACTGCAAGGTGCAAGATTTCTTGACTTTTTAGCTAATAGCATATCTAGACTGCAACATTATCTTTGCTTAGTTAAAAAAAAAGCAGTAATTAAAAGTCCCTCAGATCCTGGACAAATATACTTATCTTTAACAGATAAGTTAGTCTTAAAGTCTATATCTGTTAGTCTTAAAGGTGCCACAGGACCCTCTGTTGCTTTTTACAGATTCAGACTAACACGGCTACCCCTCTGATACTTGATACTTATCTTTAGAATTCAGATAGGACTGGAGCCCAGTTAGTTTTGATCATGTATGTCTCTCCTTTCTCTCTCTGCCTCCTCCCCCATGCCTCTCCCTCTTTAGCGCCCACACGAGCTAAAAGTGGGGCTGCTTCTTCCAGCAAATAGCGAGACCAACTATTTCTTCCCACCTTGCCTCCCTTCTAGCCCAGCTTCTTCCTTGGCAGGAAGAGTTTGCCCCCAGCAAGTGCTTCTTCTGTGAACTGCCTGACCACTTCCTCATAAGAGCTGAAGAAGCCTCATGGCCAGGAACAAGAGGTGGCACAACAAGACTCCCAGGCAGGCCACATGAAAGCAGAGAAAAATATTATGATGTATAAAGTATGGGATGGCAGATCACACTGGTAAGGAGATAGTGCTGTTATATAAATCAATGTTTCACACTCCCCTGGAATACTACGCTCAGTTCTGGCCACCTCATCTCAAAACAGCAGAAAAAGATGGGGTTAAAAGACAAGTGACAAAAATGGTTCAAATCAACAGCAAAAAAAAAGAGAAAAATTACTAGCATGTGTAAGTGGAGAAAGAGGCTAAAGACACGAAACTCACAAACACCTTCTAAACCCCAACCCATGAAGTGGATTTTAGAATGTTTTTCATTCATATTATTGCTCTGTTAGCCAAAGTGGTAAAAATACTCCAACTCTAAAGTTGGGTGAGGAAATATCTTTTATTGGACAGATTTCTGTTGGTGAAAGAGAGACGCTTTCATGAGGCACTGCTGCTGATCCCGGTCGTACCCCTTCGCCTGCATTCCCTGAGCAATTTGCTTTCAGATGTTCACATTTCTACAGCTGGTTTGTAGCTGTGCCTGCACCGTCTTTTTTCCCCACAGGCTCAAGAGATCCAATATCTCCTGTTTACTCCAGGACAGAGCATGTCTAGAGAACGGCTAGATTTACTCACCAACTTCCAAGCTGGACAATCAGGAAAATGCATTTAAAAATTTTGTAGGGCTTTAAGGGGGCAATTTCCAGTCCCTGTGAGCCCTCGGCAGTGGAGTTCAGAATTGCGACCAGAGCAGTCAGTATTAGGCATTGTGGAACAGTTGCTGGAGGACTATTAAGGTCAGCATAGGTAACGCAATGGCTTGGGCGAGCCCCGGGCCATCCCATTTTTACTTTAAGAAATATGGTCACCCTAGAAAAGAGTTTGTCCCTAGGTGATACGGTGTTTGGCTGTTCCTGTTCCAATCTAACAACAGGCAATAAAATGATGTTTTAAATTAGCACTGAGTGAACTCATTTGTCTCCAGAATGCTGAACTGCTGTCCTATTGTACAATCTTTGCCTGAAGAAGATTTATGATTGAGTTTGGAGAATAAACTATTACCTTGACCTTTTTAAAAGAGATTACTCTAGATTAGGAGGCACTGACAGAAGTGTTGTAGGCAGTACTTACTACAGCCACGTCACAGTGCCTCGTACTTGAAACCTTCTTTGTCTAGCAGCTCTGGACTGAAACCTCGGGCTGGAGCTCAGGCTCTGAAACCTAGAGGGGGGGTTCCCGGCCAAAACATCAATGTATCCAAGTTTGACATGTCAACTAGCTGCAATACGTGCCTTAGATACATATCTAGAAAATTTAGGTGGCAAATGCACAGTATGGCAGGGATTGCGTGGGCAACATTAATGCCATTGGGGTACTTATGTTTTTCGGGGGAGGGCTTGTATTTGATTTCATTACATATACAATAAAACTAGGATATTGAGGTGCTCTACTAAGTATTAGCCCTTTAAGTTACTTATACCTGTTTATAACTTTAATTTCAGATTAACACAATTTTGGGTTACTTGCCTGTCTGCCTTCCTGATAAAATACAGCACTATATAAAAACAACAACGCAGTCTTGTAGTCCAGTGTAGAGTAAATACGGTTAGAAAAGTCTCATTTACCTTGTACTTCTGGGTGGAGAGACATATAGAGCAGACACCAGAGCAGTGTGTTGGTAGTGGTGTCAGTACCTGCGATGAAGAGGTCACCAATGATAAAAAACAGGTAGTCTTCGTTAAAGCTGCTCTCACTGTTGCTCTTTCTCTCTTCTTCCACTTGGAGGAGATACATATCAATGAAGTCCCTGGGATTTTCTCTATTCAGGGTGTCCCTGTGTTGTGCAATTATTTTCTTTAGAAAAGCTGTGACATCAAACTCAATTTGTCTCAGTTCTCTGAAAGGGCCAAAGGGAAGATAATACAGCCAAGGACAAATGTTGACCAGAAATACATGGCTGTTTACACTTATCTCTAGCGCACGTGACATGAGACTTAGCATGGTCTTAAACTCAATGTCTTCATAGTCAAAGCGCCTGCCAAAGGCCATAGAACAGATAACATTGGACACAGAGTTGCTGATAATAGGAAAGGGGTTAAATGGATCCTTTCCATATCTTAGCATTTCTTCCTTCACATACTTCAGTTCTTCAATGATTTTGGGTTCCAGGCTATGCTTTCCTAATCCAAAATGACGAAGAGTTGAGTGAGAAAATTTCCTCTGTTGTCTCCATATGGGGCCATATGGTGCAAAAACGACACCTGGGGGGGCGGTGGGGGAGGGAAGGGAATTAAAAAAAATAAATAAAAAAAGTGAATCCCAAACGGAGCAGCTATATTCTCAAGGTGACATATTTAATTCCCCCCCCCCCAAAAAAAGACACCTCAGAACCAGATCAGGAACTTTCCAAAAAGGAAGGAGAGTCATGTGATCAAGGCACAGAACTAGGAGCCAGAGAAAGATGACTCTGTTCCAGCTCTATCCAAGACTTTTTACATGGCCTTGGGCAACTCTGTATCTCAGTTTTCCAATCTGTAAATTGGATCCAATCTGTAAAATGGCTACCTCAACAGGCTTAATGTTTGAAATACATTTTGAGATCCTCAGTTCGAAGGCACTACAGAACTATTATTATTGCTTACCGCAGGGGTAGGCAACCTATGGCACGTGTGCCGAAGGCGGCACGCGAGCTGATTTTTAGTGGCACTCACACTGCCCGGGTCCTGGCCACCGGTCTGGGGGGCTCTGCATTTTAATTTCATTTTAAATTAAGCTTCTTAAACATTTTAAAGACCTTATTTACTTTACATACAACAATAGTTTAGTTATATATTATAGACTTATAGAAAGAGACCATCTAAAAACATTAAAATGTATTACTGGCACGCGAAACCTTAAAATTAGAGTGAATAAATGAAGACTCGGCACACCACTTCTGAAAGGTTGCTGACCCCTGGCTTACCGTCTTGTAAGCATTTCACAGGAATATCACGTTTTGGACATACGTTAGCAGTAACCCTTTAAACAAATGAACAAAAAAAAAGGAACCTCCTACACAAATGCCATGAGCAAGATGGAGATAACCAAATATTCAAACACAGTTTGTTCTGCACTGTGACATTACAGGACGACTCTCTCCATGATACACACTTCCCCCGTACTGTCTATGTTCATGCGACTCCCATGAAAGAGAAAATTCAAGTTGACCCCTACCTTTTTATGAAACAATTAGGCAACAGGATATAAAACCTACAGATAGACTGGGAAGTTGACTATATATTTAAAACTTCTGGGTAAAAATGCCCTTGGATTTGCATCAGTAGGGAGTTTTCAAAACTTCAGACACACATTCTCCATGGGTGTTTCGTATTATGAAATCTACCCCCGAGTCAATATTTTAAACTTTTCTGTTCATGGGCTTCTTTGGAGTCAACTATAAATATTAATTTACATGCAAATAGATACACCTTGTTGTATTTACAATAGTACTATAAATGTGTACAGTGTCTAACTATATAAACAAAACAAAAAGACAGCTAGCTACAGTGACTTACTCTGATCAGGTTTAGATGAATTTGGTTAACTTGGAAAAGTATTTTAAGCCATCAGAGCAAGAACCAATATTTTAGTGCCACTTATGGTGAACTCACATTATGTTTTCTTAGAAAGCAGCTTGTTTCACAAAAGCTACATGACAACCACATCTCACCATTAATGTTAAGTTTCAAAGATCTTTTTTAAAAAATTAATTGATTTGTGAAAGGCAGTTTGATAAGAGCTTAATGCCTAATCTAACATATGGCCAGATAACAGAACACAAGAGAGAAACTCAGTGACCCTTAGAAGTTGGTAACAGAAAGATATGTCTTCTTGATACTGGACAGGCATCCACATTTTGATAAAAGGACCTAATAATCAAAACATGAAAATGAGTTAACACTAAAATAAATCCAGAAAAGTTATTTAAGAGTGGGTATAATAATGTACAAAGGGTAGTATATGCTAAAGAGAATCAACTATTCAGGGTCAGGACAATCTAAGAGATATGGAAGGGCAAAATAAAGATTGGTATGTGGTCTTCATGATTAGATTTTTCTGACTGAATTATCTATTAAAGTGACTGTATTAGGCTGAAAAATCTGAATACATTGTTTAGTTCCAAAGGTCTTGAACAAAGTAAGTAGAATATTATGATCAGTCCTTGATTAAGAAGAAAGTCACTGTACTATACCAACTGAGTGAACAGGTATTGAAATGAAGCTCATTTTGTCTCCATATAAATATGCCTTGAAGGACAGCTTCTCAGCAATACATTTTCTGTACAGAACACTTTTTTGTTTTGTTGGTTTTCTTAGCTTGTCAGATTACCCACCCCAGGGCAGTGTTTCTACATAGCAGCAGTAACATCAACTGGGACAAGTGAAAAATTAAGGCACATCTGATACTGAAATTGGCCAAGAACATATTAATCATTCCAGTGAAACAGAACACTTCTAACTTGGCCTAAAGCAAGTACTACAACGAAACCAAACCACAATTCAGCACAGCCTTTTCCTGCCTCCAGAAGGGGGAAGAGTAGTTTCAGGACATGAATACCATCCACAGGAGAAGACAGCCTCATCATCTTTTAAGGGAGCAAACTCCCTTCAATTTATGCATTAAAAGCTGAGCTGGCAAATTAAGACTGTCCCAATTTCACATTATAGTAGAACCTCAGAGTTAGGAACTGACCAGTCAACCATACATCTCATTTGGAACTGGAAGTACGCAATCAGTCAGCAGCACAAACAAACAAAAACATACTGTGTTAAACGTAAGCTAACTAAAAAAAAAAAAAAGGGAAAGCAGCATTTTTCTTCTGCATAGTAAAGTTTCAAAGCTGTATAAAGTCAATGTTCAGTTGTAAACTTTTGAAAGAACACCATAACATTTTCTTCAGAGTTATGAACAACCTCCATTCCCAAAGTGTTCATAACTCTGACATTCTACTGGAAAAGTCTTTTCAGACATGGTTCCACAGAGAAAACTGTCATATGAGATCATCAAAATCATGGAAATGCCAGCTCATTTGGGAGCACTGACAACTAGCTTACTATAGGTAGAAACTAACAGAGATGGAGAAATAGATTAAAAAGGAGAAAGAGCACTAGGTTAGAGCAACAACGGAGATCAGAGAAGAAACTTGAATCCATTGGCTGAGTGCCAGGTAACAATAAAGAGGAGTAATTGGGCACTTTTGTTTATTAACAGAATATCATTGAAAAAAGAAGCTAGGGAAAACAGCACTTGCTCTGTATATGAGCTGAGAGCCAAGTATACCCACAAATGGGTATATACAAGGAAGAACTTAAAGAAGCCATAAAAGTGCATCAAGCAACGAGAATGAGCCCAGGGCTTTGGAGTGGAGCCCAGAGCTGGAGCCCGGAGCAATGGAGCTGCAGGTTTTTGCCCGGAGCTGGAATGGAGCCGGAGCACAGAAAATCTTGACTGCTCCAGTTTTTTTTTTCTCCATTTTCAATCCAAAATGAATGATATTTAGCAAAAAAGTCCTAAAGGTGCCAAAAAGTTTCAGATTGTATAACAATTGATATTAACATCTACTTTACCACTTTACGTAATATGTCACAGTTATTCTCACTTCAGCCGAAATCAAGAATTAATGTACAGATACAAAATTATAAAGTTTTTTGGAGATAGGTTTTATTAAAGAATCAGATAATTATCAGACAACTGGCAACACTGCAGACTGCTCCCACCCTTGTGCCAAGGTTAGGCGAGTACGTACTCGCGTAGATTAGTATGGGTTGATACTTCTTTTGTAAGGGTTGATCAACAAGACGTGCGGAGTGCTGCGATTACGGAAAAGTGTGACACAAGATAAAACATTTGAGATATCACAAACAGATATATTGCAAAAAAAATAATGTTTTTGTTTACTGATGTATTAAGATATCGCAAGAGATATTAACCACTTAAGTTCATTTCTCACACGGACTCCCGTTACATTTGTTCATTTGTACATGCTCCCGTATCACTCTGGTGGACTTATTTTATATGTCATCTGTTCAACTATCTTTTGGTAGCGTTGTTTGTAATTTTAAATTTACTGAAAAAGTCACATGCAGCAGGCTGGAAACATTATACAAGATATAGAACCTGTTATTTGCTCTCTTGTATAATGTTTCCAGCCCGATGAAGCAAAAACATATTTCTGAAAATTTGCTCTCTTTACTAAAAGGACTATGCTTGCAATTTGAATCCGCTTTCCCGTTAAAGTTTATTTTCAACCTTGTAACGTGTAGCCTCGTTACTTCCCAACAATTAATGTTGTAGAACAGCAATAGCACATACTAACACTACAGCACGTACCAAATTTCACTGATATATCTATATTAAAGTGTTTTAGAGATTTTAATTAAAAACTTGGAAAATATTTCGAATATTTTTACCGCAAAATTTCATAAAAACTAACTTGTAGTTTATAAATAAAAATTTATATTAAGTATATTAAAATACTTCTTACTTCATTAAAACTGCAAGAAACGTTAAAATATTAAAATATACTTTAATAATAATTTTGTGTAAAAATAAAATGCAATCATTTTTGTCCAGAAAACCCAAAATAAATTCGAAGTACCTTAAGTGGTTAAGATATCACAAGCAGGTACATTATAAAAAAATTTAATGCTTTTGTTCATTGCTTTTCGAAGATCATAAGAAACATTTGGATGCGGTAGCAGCACAAGAAGATTTGGCCATGGCTTCAACAACAAAAAAATCAAATCCGCCCCCCATGATTGATAGCCAATTTACGGAAAAGGATCTCAATGACGTCTTTACTTTTGAATTTGAAAAGCCCAAATTTGGGCTTTTGGGAAAAGCAAAGAAGAAATCGGCAACGTGCAAGGTGGAAAAGGAAGTGAATGGTGAGCTCAAACCATGTAGCTTCAAGACAAGTGAAGCAAGTGCTGTGAAAAATTTCAACCTTTGGTGGCATGTAAAACGTAACCACCCTGAAAACCATGTGGCTCTGGTTACAAAAAAGGACCAGGGAGATGAGGCAAAACAGAAAGCTGACGCGGCTAAATGACGTTCATCTGGCTCTTTGAAAACTCCTGGAAAAAAGATTTTTTGCGGAGCTTCATCTGAAAAGAAACCCAAAATTGAGCAAACAAAACTTGACTCATATTTGAAGTCCTCAAAGGTTACAGTCACCATGGATGCCAATACTTTCCGTGAAGGGCTGATGGAAATGGTTTGC